TCGATTCCTTTCCTTTCCTTTCCTTTCCTTTCCTTCCCTTTGCTTTCCTTCTTTTTCTTTCTTTTCCTTGTATTCCCGCCTCTCTTTTCTCTTTCCTTCCCCAGTTCCCTTTTCCTTTACTATCAGTCCTGTAATCTTCTTTCTCGTGTGTTTACTCGGATACGTCATCATTTCTATAACCAGACAAAGTACACGAGATTGAATTAATGTGGTCACTTCAACAAATAGGAAAAGAAATAAATTGCAATTAGAGAAATAAAAAGAATTGGATACAATTGATAAGGCATTCAGTGCTAAATATTGATCAAAAACTGAAGTGAAGAAAGCAATTAAAACGGCTAGATTGTTTAAGGTACACTTCGTTGCCATAATTACGTTGCAATTATATTTCTCAGGCTATGATTTTTTTTTACTTTTAAATTCAGTTAAATTATCGATTCCTCGCAGGTTTTGCTCCTTCGCTTCAAGGAGCCGATGTGCCACGTCTACAAAATCGCCTACCGCGACACGTGTCTTGTCTAAAGCGTGTTGAACTGCGTGAGACTGAAACGTGTTGACATCGAAGCGTGAAATTCGAAAATCCAACTATACTCTTACTTGTAAACGCACCTAAAATTCTCAGTAGCTGAGGCTCTAACCTTAGTGTCAAATAGAGAGAGAGAGTTTGGTCATCAGTTGAATTAAGACTGAATTGTCTTCCACCAGCAAAACATTAGAAATACTGAGTTACCAGGTCGTTGAAGTGTAAAAGACGGTTTTTTGACTAATGTTTTTAAAAGATACGATCGCCCACAGCCCAGCAAACAAAGGAACTTTATCTAACCAACACCATTAAAGGTTAGTAGCTGGCTTATTATTTGCATTAACATCTTGGACCACCTTAAGAACTCAGTCACAATTCAATATTTACGAATTTGGCTCACTGAAACGGATAGTAATATCATAATATTAGAATACAATTTTCCAACTACCTGTAAGTCGATAAATCAGGGATTATATGTATTTTCAAATTCAAGTAACTATGAGAAAGAAAAGTCTTTAATTTTCAGCAATGTAAATTATAGTTTCAAGGATATTTTGAAGAAGTATTTTGAAGAATACATAAATTGGTCTTTCTGAAATCAAATATTCAACAGCATCTTTTTTCCCAATCATAACAAGACATTTTCCCATCCACATCAATTTGTTTTTCTAAAATCTTCCATTAACCTAGAACTGAATTTTTATCGTCGTAACTCAAAAGCAATTCATTAACAAATGAATTCAGGACAAAGCCTAATGATATATACTTTTTTCCGTGGAATAATAGTAAAATTTGTATCAAAAGTTTGCATGCGAAAAAGCACGCGAAATGCAAAACTTATCGATAGTGATTTTATCGGTTCCGGACAAAATCCCACAATAATTTTTGTGATAATGCTAGATTTGTGAAGTTTCATTTGCAGACTAAAGACCTTGATATATTCTTACTCTCAAGAGTACCTGCCATGACACAGGGGAAAATTAATATGTTATGTCCAACTTGTTTTTCAAAGAAATTTCTGCTAGTATCACTTTCGCAAAAACAACCAAAAGCATAATAATTTCTTGAGCTAGCGAGAAGGCCAGAAGTATTTCACAGAAGAAAAAAAAGATCAGTGTTTTTTAACTGAGTTTTTTTTGGTTGTAAAATTTCCCCTCTACAACATCTTTGATATTTAGCTTTATTCGAGCTCCCAAAGGAAATTTCTATCAGACTTTAACTAGTAGTATCCGTTTATTTTTCTCTCAGCGTTAATTCGTACGCAGTCACGTTGCAGGAAATTGCTAACTTGGCAAGTGGGGATGGAAATAGAATCGAGGCTTCTCTAATCGAAGATAACAATTGCAAAAGAGAAAACCCAGAGTACACATAGAGAAAATTGATTTCCTGCCACGTGAGAAGTTTTGTAATATGTCGGCTTTGCCACAGGGAGAAAACATTGCAATAGGACTTTAAAACGTCAGCATTAAGAATTATCCAATCGGAGAGCAGCAACAAATCACATATATATCAAGGCACTCGGCCTCTAGGCCGTTATTGAAGTTTGCTCTCAGCATATATATATAGTTAGTAAATATAAAAGGAAATATCTAATTCATCTGAATATCGAACTGAGTCTTAAAGAAGATATAGGTGAGTAGATTTGCTATTTTTCATGCCTCGAACTTAACTTGTTTTTCCTGAGTTTTGCAAGCTTTTTTGAAATTATCAACTGAAATGCATGCTGCTGTTAACTAACTTTGATTTGACTCGCTCATGGAGAACAACTTGGCTCTACAGCCAATTTTCCCCCAGATATATCGATAAGAAGTTTGGGAAGAACAAACTCAAGCTTTGGCATTTTCCACGGCATTCGTGAACTGCAGATAGGAGAATATTGATTTTTATCGTTACCATAGTTGCATAAAAAGTAATTGTTATTCAGGCGCGCTAATTAAAACGGGTGCGGGATATAAAAGAATACCGTAAAGAGGAAAAGAAAGATAGGAATTTAAGAAATTAAAGTGTGGTATAAAAGGAAAGGTATGAATGAAAAAAAGATATGAATAAAAAGAAACAAAAGGAAAGGAAAGGAAAGGAAAGGAAAGGAAAGGAAAGAAGAAGACATCGATCCAACCTAAAAACCGAGGAAAATAGAGAGGAGAGGAGAGGAGAGGAGAAGAATAAGAGAAAACAAAAAACATAAACGAAGGAAGAACATCAGGGCAAGAGAAAAAATGCATCAATACTGATAAGCTAAATAAACCAGAGTTTAATCAAACGATAAAAGTAGTCTAGATTAGAATCTGCATAACATAGGTCATCATGCAAAATAGAAAACGTCGTACAATAATTGATAATATTAACTATAGAGTAAACGCCAATAAGTATACATGCTTAACCTATAAGTAAGCATCTGCTTCACCAAAAAGCGAGTCAAATAAACAAACCAATTTTTTTAACAGAAAATTATGCAGCTGAAATATTTTGTCTTCATATTATTTTCTAGGATTATGTTTGGAATAGTGTTTACTGTTTAAAGTGCCTATCACCCTTCTGACGATATTCTCAGTACTGATTCTACATGGGGTAAGATGTTGAATAACCCGGAAAAATTACATAATATAGTTTGAGTGCGGCATCTTGAAGTTATAAAGGTTTTTACACGCCATATGCTAATGCTGTGACGTATGAGGAGTAATCATTTCATATACAAAACACTACTGGTACAGATAAATTAAATTTGAAATACGTCATTGTTTTCCCCATTGCTCTTATAGAAATKAWTGCAAGTTAGTTTTCMCATAGAAGCCGGTGTTTCGAATTACGAGGAACAACAAATAACCATAAATGCCTCCTCATACGTCACAGCATTAGCATATGACATGGAAAAACCTTCATAACTTCAAGAAGYCGCACTCAAACTATGTAATTTTTTCGGGTTATTCAACATCTTACCCCATGTAGAATCAATACTGAGAATATTATCGGAAGGGTGATGGGAACTTTAAAGAGTTTATTTTACCGGTCGTAACGGCAATTACTTATATCGCTTGCCTGAGTGGGGGAGGGTTGAGCAGATGGTTGAGGGGGTATAACATAGTTTTCAGATAACATATATGTGCGCGCGTATTTCAATTCAAGAGGGTGATTTCTGTGTCTTAACTTTAATTTAATTTTTGATTTTAATTGTTGTTGCAACAGAAACTCTCCGAGAACCCTTCGCACCTCCCGAGGTGTTCTTGGCACCACACCAGGAGACTACTAGGTGTTGTTATTAGTACAATAAAGGTTTTTAATTTTTAATTTCCTTTTCATCGCCAGGATATGGACGTTTTCGATTTGGCTTATGGAAAGTTTTCTGAAGGAATGGCTACTGATAGAGACGATGTGAGTAAGAACCAGTACCTATACCTACCTACCTACCTACCTACCTACCTACCTACCTACCTACCTACCTACCTACCTACCTACCTACCTTCCTTAACTCCCTACCTATTTACCTACCTACCTACCTATCTACCTACCTACCTACCTACCTTCCTTAACTCCCTACCTATTTACCTACCTACCTACCTACCTACCTACCTACCTACCTACCTACCTACCTACCTACTTACTTATAACCTTTAATTTGGTTAACAATTACAGCTCAGTGTCTCTGATGACAGAAAAACATCACCTACATCGAAGTCTTCCTTCTTGTCTAAAAGTAGAGAAGAGGATGCCAAGGTCCTATACCAGATATCCTGCCTATTGAACAAGGTACATTAATGTTCGTACGCGTTACTGACACAGGGAATCCAATAAACGAGAATAAATGTTTTTATTTAAGTGTGACATCTCTCGTAGGGAAAATATACTTACGGCTCCAGAACGAAAAGTAGCATCAGTTTTAGATTTTTCTTACTTTTTTGTGTCAGGAATAGGACGTTCGACACGATGGCGTTATTTGACTTCCACTAACATAATGCTTCGCGAATTTTTTTTCATATTCAAATTTGTATTTCCTCATGAGATCAGCCTCGCTAATTAAGTGAATAAAAGAAAGTGAGCAAAAGAGTCTGTTAGTAGAGTTCAATGAGTCATCATGCTAACGTCCTATTGTTGTGATGAGTTCTTTTTTCAGGTGGGAGTTCAATTAAGAACGTTTTAAGTTGCTTTATTTTAGTGGTTTTTGCAGCTGACTTAAGCGAGAAAATTGTTCAAAACTGAGGTGTCACTCTTGAAGTTATTGATTTCCAGGCCACCTAATAAAGATAACGTTGCTAATAAGAGGTTGACAACTGTAAAACAATAACTAATGAGTTTTATATATCTTTATTACAATGGTGGACAGAATATTATATTTTTCACTGATCAATAAATTTTCTCAGGCTTCGTGACACCTCAGTTTTGCAGTGACGTCATTTCGATGTCACTATTTCAGATCACAGGTAGCCCACGCTCTGTGTGGTTATTTTTTGAATTGAAAGAAGTGCTATTTCTCAATGATCGGGTAAAAT